CTCTATCCCTTAATAAGTTTTGTTTGGAGAAAAAATAAGTTTTATATTATTTTTTTAACATAATATTAGTTATTTTTTTCATTATACTCTTCATAATATTTTTTATAACGTAGTTATTGTGTTACATCATTTTTAATAAAGAATAATTATATAAACAATTTTCTAAAATTATTATTATTTATTTAATTCTTAATTTTTCTTACTCTATATATTATAAGTTAATAACTTAAGATGATATTTATTATGAGCCGGTTAAAATAATATAAAAATACTCTTATCCTACGAATTGTCCTAATCTAACACTTTCACCGAAATCAACTCACAAAACTCGGCAAACATAAGATAGAAAATAAATAATGTTCACTTCGTTATACGTTGGTGATTGTCATGGTAGCAATCAAAGGCGGGTCGAGTTGAACAAATTGAATTGAAAGGCAAGGCAACCGGAAATTAAGGCTAATAAGTAATCAAATAGTCAATCATTACTAAGATTGATGTTTGCATTGCACGCACAATAAAAGACAAAGTTTCCAAAGTGATATACTTTTTGTTTGTGATTAGAGACGTGTAAAAAATTTAAATTGGTTTGAATCAATCTATAATTTATTTGATTCATGTTAAAAAATTTGATTTATTTAAAAAAAATTGAATCAATTCACTTTATAATAATTTAGTTATCTAATTTATTTTTATAAAGAGAATTAGTTTCATTTGATTTGATTTTTTTTAAAATAAATCTATATATTAAGTAAAAAATAGATATAACAAATCAATTTATATTTAAAAAAAAAATTAAATTGATTCACCTCATAAAAAAATAGATAATAAATTAAATTTTTAAAAATCAAATTGATTCACCTCATTAAAAAAAATAGATAATGAATTAAATTTTTATAAAATAGATACTTCGGTTGGATTTAAATTTTTAAAAAATGGGATACATTAACCCCCTATTTGTGATACACGAAGATTATAGAATCAGACATTCCAAGCAAGGAACGCGGATTAGACAACCTACTCACAAACGTTAAAGATTTTATTCTTAATTAATTAAATGTTCAAGTCTTCATTGCTCACCGAACCACCAGCAAAATTATTAGCCAACAAATGTTGTAGAAATGTATATTTTAATTTATTTTAAATCAATTTTTTCATACGTATTTATCAAGTGGTCATACACAACGAGAATAATACTCTTACATAACGGAAATCTTCTTTACACAGCACTAGAAATTATAAATCATAAGATCATATTTAAATAGTAGAAATTAAAAAAAATGCACTTCATTTTTTAAAATAGTCATATAATCATTAACTAATTTTTAATATCAATCATCTATATATGATTATATCACATTTATAATAGAAAATTAAAAAAAAATCACTAAAAAGAATTGTCATATAGAAATATATATCTTATAATGATATATTATTTGTGACTAAAAATTATTTTTATTTATGATATATCTCAGTATATTATTAAAAAGTGTAAGTATAAAATATAACAACACATAATATATTTTATTAAATCTCATTTAAAATTAAGCTAAAATTATGTGTAAGTATATGTTAACTGAGTTTATACTTAGATATATGAAACCTAGAGTGACACTTTTTAATGATTGTATGTAACATTTTTTATAATGTATGCACTTAACTTATTATTCTTATTTCTCATTTCTAGCAATAACAAAAATTTTCACTTCATACTTTCTATGTATATATTTTCATTTATTTTTAAAGAAAAATAAATGAAAAAGTGTAAGAAGGTGTGAACAATTTTTGGATACACTAGTACAAAATAAACATTTTACGTATGTTATTTTAGGGTTTTTAAGTTATAAAATGGTTCGACGTCAATGCGGGAGACGTAAATTTACGTTGGTTGAGTTACCCGACGTAAATTTACAAATCCAAACGCAACAACGTCGTTTTTGGTGGCAGATCTTAACGACGACGTTGCGTTGAAGTGGCATGTACTGGCATGTGGGGATTGTGCGGGTCATGGCGAGCTTTGCGGCTTCACCGGAGACACGAGTCTTCAAGTTGGATGCTTAAACATTGAAACTTAAACTTAAACTCTCTCAGCCCAGCACGATTCATACACAATGGAAGGAAGAAACCCTAAACTCATTCACATATATACTAACCTCAAATCGTTCAAAACCTAGAAAACGCCCAATCCAATTGGTCAGAAAGATCTGGAATCACCCACGGATGTTGAGAAGTCGTTTGCTTGAAAGCACAGTGATCGGAAATGCTCACACGTAGTCAACAAACCCTTGCCGAAAATCGCACCACGAATAAAAAGCTTCCTCTGTTGTGTAAACCTCGCGCGCGAAGAAGACGAAGTCACTGGAGGGGAAATAAAAAGCTCTTTTACGTCAGACTACACTAGGGCCGACGTAAATTTCAAAATCTACGTTGGACATTAGTCACATCCGACATAGATTTTGAAATTTACGTTAGCCCCAGTGTAATCCGACGTAAAAAAATTTGCTTTATTTTCAAAATTATCACCGCGTCTTTTTTACGTTAGATATTTTTATATCCGACGAGAAAACATTGACATAGATTCTATATTTTGCACTAGTGATAGTTATAATTATAACGTAGTTTTTCAAAAAATGGTAGAGAAAGAAAGAGTAATTTGAGAGATAATTTTAGGGATTAACTTGTCCAAAATAATGTGGACAACAAATGAAATAATCTCCTTTATTAATAGTATAAATATAATTTAAAATTAAAAAAAATTGTAGAAATCATTTGATTTGAGAAAATGTCTTTTTTTAATTTTTATTTTCAGATTAATTTTTATAAGTTATTCAAAAATGAAGAAACATTAAAATAAACATTTTTATTATTTTTTTTTTAATTTTTCCAAATAATAATAAAATAAAATAAAAATAATTTCTTAAATTTAGTTATCTTTATTTTCTTTCTCTAAAATTTTAGTACCACCAATTTTTCCTTCACCTACTCGTCCAACGAAATAAGCGACATGATTTTGACATACTAGAGAGGGAAAGACTCTCCATGATTACAATATGAGTTTAATTTCTATATCAGGGTAAAAAAGATATGTATTATTAATTAATTGAAAATTATTATTTATATAATTTTTAAATAATTGTTATAAAGGACAACATATTTATTATAAATAATAATTTATAATTAGATATAAGTACAAAAAAAGCTTCTATTATTAATGCATGCATATATTATTTCTCATTAAAATATATGATTATCCGATAACGTTTTATTAGGAGTAGGAAACAACAAACAAGAGAGAAATTTGATAAATAAAAAAAATAAAAATAAAAAACCTTAAGGAGATAAGAGTAAAAAAAAAAAAAGAAAGAAATATGAACTTTGTCAATTTTTAATAAATTTAGCTTCATTAGGATACACATATTCAACTACTATTATCAAACCAATAATAAAATTAATATTCATAAGATTTTAAATTCAAATCATATCGTTATCATCATAATTTTTATTAATAAGAAAAGACCGAAACACAAGATTTCACTCTAGTATTGTTTCTCTTTTCACAAATTATTTTTCAACATAAATTGGACTTAAAAGACACAAAATTATTAGCAAAACTTAATCAATAAAAAATATTTTATAATTAAGATAATTATTATAAAATCAAAAGATTTATGTAAAAATTTGTGATTAAATATCAGCATAAGTATCTATATATTATTCATTTATATAAACACAAAATATATGCAGTTTATAATTTTTTTTTTACAAATTTATAAGTGTTCTTCTTTAATTAAAATTAGAATTTTATATTAATAATTTTTTTAATATTTTTTTTTTACTAAAAATTAACATTAGTTATGTAAAATTTCATAAAATAATTCATGTATTTCATATCACTTATTTTTATACAGAAATAGAATCAATTTAAGTTAATTCATATTTATATTAATATTTTGATTGTTTGTTTGAGTCTTTAAGTAATCGTAAATTTAATTTTCTTTAAGTAAGATGTCGAGTTTAAGAATCGTAAATAAAAACAAAAATATGACTTAAGAAAATATATCCCATCAAACGTGAGCAATTAGTTTCGTCAATAGAATTTAATTATTAATAAAATTTTTAGATACTTCATGTTAATAAGTAATAACATAGTTATAATAATATTTTAATTTGTATAATGCACACAATAAATATTTGTTTTATATAATTATAATTTATACATAATAAATATTTTTGAATATATAAATTATATTTTAGATTTATAATAATTAGTTTATATTATAATGTACATTTATTTTTAATTATTTATAATTTTAAAATATTTAATTTAAAACTAATAATAAAATAAATTATTAATAAAAAGTTTAAAAATTCTTAAAAATATTATAATTAAATAATCATGTGTACAAATATTTTCAATTCAAGAAGTAGGAGTTGCTCTACGCTTAAGTAAGGTTAGGAGTTCGAATCCTGCCTTGTGTATGTAATTGCGTTAAATTTTGAGGTAAGTTATCCCATCTTTTGAGGTAAGTTATCCCATCCTTTGAGGTGTCTTCAACGTAGTGAATAGATTAGTCACTGCTGAATACTCCAAGAAAAAAAAAAGAAAAAAAAAAAGTATATCCTCGCCGCAAATCAAGTTGTCATATAGTAAAAGAAAAGAAAAAAAAAAAAAGTGATGAAAGAAAAAGAAAAGGAAAAATTCAGTATGGACGAAGGAGGGCAAGTGACGTGACAACTTTAAGTTTCCCATTTTGAACAACACTCCTTAACTAATCGATGCCAGAATGCAACTTTAGATTTTCACACGGTTAATTAAAAATAGCAATAATAATTTCTTTTTTTGGGTTTGTTGTTCATTTTCTTACATTAAATTCTTCTGACACGAGTGCAGACATAAGAGAAAATTAGACAAACTTTGTACCTATAAAAAAAATTAAAAAATAATTAGGCAATCTTTTTCAGAAAAAATAAAATTAAAAATAAAATCCTTCTCCAACCTTTGAAACTGCATTCAAATACAAGGGTGCCACTGCAACACCACCAGAAGCCAGAACCATTTTTTTCTTCTCATAAGTTCCATAAATGCACGCGCTTTGAAGACAGCTTCTTCTTTTCCAAAACCAACCCATATCAGAAAAAGTCACAAAGTTGTTACCTTTAAAATTGTCTGGTTCAGAAGAATAAAACAATCCCTGTGCTTGCAATCTGTTGTTTCTGGGAACCCATTTTTCAGTTTTCAGTTTTTCTCTCACTCATTTTGTTGTACTTGTTTTGTTCCTTTGAGAACCGTGGTAATGTCTGTCTCAAAGTACAAAAAGCTGTGCCTTTGTCTTGTTTCATTGTTCTGCTTTGGTTGTGTGGCTATGGCTTCTAGTGAGAGTAGTAGTGGTTCCAAAGAGCTTGATCAGACACCAACATGGGCTGTGGCTTGTGTCTGCACTGTTTTCATCTTGATTTCCTTAACTCTGGAGAAAAGCCTTCACAAACTGGGAACGGTGTGTCACCATTTTCAAACGTTTCTTTTCTTATTTGCTTTGTAAATGTAATTATTAGCACTGTTTCCCACCTTATGCGTTTCACAATGAAGCTAACTGCCCCTTCTACCCTCTTTCGTTTAGTCCAATTTGCTTTAATTTCGCTTCAATGTATTTTTTTTCCCTTTTCTTTTGTCCCCATAGCTGAGGCTTCGGTTTTTAAATTTGATCCCTGAACATCCGGGGTTTTGTGATTTTGTTTTGATGTGATATGCATTGTCTGTTCTGTTTCATTTTGTGGGAAAGTCTTGTTTTTGTTGAAATTTTGTCATAGTTTTTGAATATTTGAAGTTGAGGGCTTGTTTATTTATGGCATTATTAGTGCTTGTAGTGTCCCTAATCCCATGAATTTTTTCTCAGTGGCTACGGGAAAAGCACAAGAAGGCTTTGCTTGAGGCTTTGGAAAAGGTCAAAGCTGGTAAGAATTTTTCATTAAAGCGATTAGTTGATAATTGATATGAAATTTTGCTTATCTCGTGGAGCCAAAGCTGTTTGACTCTTCTTCTCGACTTAATTTTCTTTTATCTTAATTTGTGTGAATAACATTAATTAATAAATAAAATAATAGTAAATAATAATTAATTCTTATATTGTTGACTTTGTTTTTGCAGAGTTGATGATTCTTGGTTTCCTTTCATTGCTTCTGACTTTCGGGCAGAGTTACATTGTTAGAATATGTATTCCTCTCAATGTGGCAGACAAATTGTTGCCTTGTAAGTATGTTGGTACCGACAATGAATCAAGTAGTGAAGAGGAACACCGTAGGAAGCTTCTTTCTTATGAACGCAGATATTTGTCAGATGAAGCTACCCCTTATCAATGCGGCAAGGTAACTATGTTTCCACGCCAAGCTTCATTTAACTAAACGTAATCTTATGATCTTTTGTGAAAAGGCGCTTGGAGATATTCTTAGTTAAACTTACCAATTATTAACACTTTGTTTTTCATAACCCTTTCCAGGTTTATGTTTTAAAAAACAAACAATATATTATGAATAGTCATGTTATGTTATATGATCTTTAGGTGTAGACTGGCTTATTGAAAACAATTCTTGTCTCTTAAAACTCAAGAACTATTCGTGTAGGCCTACTTTAGGAAAATATTATATTCTATGTTGGTTATAAATGTTACACTCACATTTTTTGTTAGGTTTCACAGCAGAATCCTCTACAATTTTCACTTATTCTCTTGTGTCATATTGTCAATATGATTATGCTATTTCTGTCTCCAGTCAGGACAATATCAAAGATTGCTTTTGCTCATTACTGCTTGACTTATTTACAACTTTTTTTCCCTCATATCAGTAGTTGCCTATCTAATTGTTGTTGGTTACAGGGACATCAGCCACTTATATCTGTGAATGGATTGCACCAGTTACACATCCTCATATTCTTCTTAGCTGTCCTTCATGTGCTTTACAGTGCTGTCACAATGCTTCTCGGAAGACTAAAGGTCCTCTGCATGTCTTTATTTCTTTCTTTCTTTCTTTCTTCTATTTTCTTTTATAACTTTATTGGTCAAATACTTCTGTTATTTTTTCATATCTGTGCATTTTAAGGATACCAAGTTGGTAACTAATCCTATGACTTCCTCTTTGCTTTGGAAGCATGATGTCCGAAAGATTTAATAGTTCAAATTTATTGTATTTACTGCTTTATAATTTTATTTTCTTCCAAGAAAAAAAGGAAAAACACGGAGTAGATTTAGCTTAAATTTATATGATGGGTCAAATTTATGTCCTCATCACATTTTTTCATTATTGTATTAGTGAGTATTAGAGGGAAATAAAGTATAATTTTGATGCAATTGTAGGTCAGTTGAAAACTGAACTAGAGAATATAACAATAACCTTATTTAAGCCAAGAACAAAACAAATTAAGTTACATCAGTTTCACCATGGAAAAGCTGAAAGAAAACCCCACGAGCATTCACCAAATAAAAAAAATAGACTTTAGGGGGTAAAGAAACTGCATTAAAATGGCTTTAGTGATTAACATTCTAGACCATTGCCATGTTCCTTTTGTGTTCCTTGATAATGAAGAGTTGGCAAATTACTATGGTGATTGAAAGTTTCTTTTGTTCAGATTCGAGGATGGAAGGCATGGGAGGCAGAAACTTCATCTCATGGTTACGAGTTTGCCAATGGTACAATGACCAATGATGTATTTAACATTTTTTGAGTGTAAAAATAACTAGTTGCTTAATTTTACTGATAAGTATTCCAATTTACTTTGAAATGCTGCAACATGCAATCTCATGCCAATATTGGGAATTTACTATTCCTGCAGATCCTTCAAGATTCCGGCTTACACATGAAACATCGTTTGTGAGAGGTCATGCTTCATTTTGGACAAGATATTCAATCTTCTTCTATATAGTAAGATTCATTTTACTAATCTGCTATGTTTTCACTTTTTATTGGCTTAAGGTTGTATGTGGTATGGCTCAGAAAAATGGGGCAGTGAATTAGAACTACTAATGAATTAAGGTTGTATGTGGTATGACTCAGAAAAATGGGGCAGTGAATTAGAACTGCTAATGAATTCACTATTGTCATTTTTTCATATCATCATTAGTAATAAAATACCTGCTTACTTATAACAAATTAAATTTAAGATGCTCTTTTTAAATTGACCTCTTGTACCATTTCTTGCATGTTTCCAATTTCAGGGATGCTTCTTTAGACAATTTTATAGGTCTGTGGGCAAGGCTGACTACTTGGCTTTGCGCAATGGATTCATCGCTGTGAGTCCTACACCACAAGACATGTTCTTTTTAACACTGAATTTTCCTTCCTCCTTTAACTGTACATTATGTGTAGGTCCACCTGTCTCCTGGAAGTAAATTTAACTTCCAAAAGTATATCAAAAGATCCTTGGAGGATGACTTCAAGGTAGTTGTTGGAGTCAGGTAACACTCTTGTACACGATACATTTGTTTGAAGTATTATATTGAGTCTGTTTAAATACAAACTTAGAAAAACTTTTAAGAGCTTCTCTATTGAAAATAATGAGTTTTTTCTAATCGAAAAATTCTCAAAAACTTTTCTAAACTTGTATCAAAACAGACTCTTTGTCTATGATTTTTCCAATGGTAACTTGTTTGACATACATGCTCACTATGTTGTTGACAGTCCTGTCCTCTGGGCAGCATTTGTTTTTTTCCTGCTTCTAAATGTTTATGGTAAGCATCTATTTTCTTATTGTTGTCCTATGGAATTCACCATTCTTCAGTTGAATATTCAGTTAAAGAATAACACTTGGTTAATCCTGTGTCATTTTCCAGGATGGCATGCTGGGGTATGGGCATCCTTAATTCCTTTTTTTTTAATTACTTTTTTCTCTATATATAATTTGCAGAGTGGTTGAGATTGAGACCTACAATTATAAACCATTTAATTGGTTGCAGATAATTTTTGCTGTTGGAACCAAACTTCAAGCCGCATTGGCAATGATGGCTATTGAAATCACAGAAAGACATGCTGTTGTACAAGGGATTCCTCTTGTTCAAGGCTCAGACAGATATTTTTGGTTTGGTCAGCCTCAGTTAGTTCTTCATCTTATCCATTTTGCTTTGTTCCAGGTATCCATTGGTTTCCTTTTAGCAGAATCTTAACATATATGTTTAGCAGATGAAATGGACAAACCATGCATAATTGTTCAGGTTTACAGTTGAAAATGCAACTTTACGTGTAGGCTAATGAACATAACTAATTCTAAACAGTAATGTTGCATCCACGATGTTATTTTAAAATACCACTTAAAAGCAAATAATTTTGTTTTATTGCTGATTTGTGTTGAAGAAAGTTTAATTCATTTACATTATTTTAGATATTTTGGTGGATTTATTTTTAAACCAAGAGTATGAAACTTCCTACTTTAAACTTTGTTCCAGGGAGACAGTGTTTTTGGAGTTTTGAAGTTTTTAGTTAATTGTTGTAACTAATGATTTTTTTGACTTGCAGAATGCATTCCAGATAACATATTTCTTGTGGATATGGGTACTGAGCCCCTCTTTACACCTTGATCTCAAATAATATCATCTTGTAGCCTATGTAGATCTTGGTTAATGGCTGAACAATAAATAAATGATTTCTTGATTTGCAGTATTCTTTTGGGCTGAAAAACTGTTTCCATGCTGACACTGAGGTTGCAATAGTGAAAGTAGCTTTAGGGTAAGTGTTGGATTTAAAATTCCCTTTTGCAGTAAAATGGCATGCCTAAATATGCTTTTTATACTTCAAATTAGCTGTTACTTTTATATGAACTCTGTAATTGGTTGAGGCTATCTCTGCTAAACAATAATAGAAAAGAGGGTTGGAATATACACCTTTGATTGAAGCATTTGACATTGTCATAAACTAATATGATGAATTCCCATGTTTTTGAAGGGTTGGAGTTCTTTGCCTCTGCAGCTACATCACCCTTCCATTATATGCTCTTGTTACTCAGGTACTACTAGCTTTTTGTTTCCTGATGTTGAGTCTGTATAGATATCAGCTTAAGAATTTTTTAGAGTTTCTCTACTAAAAATAAAGAGCTCTTTCTAGTAAAGAAATTCTCAAAAGTTTTTCTAAACTTGTATCCAAACAGATTCTTTATTCTATTTGTGATAAGAGTTATTCATTTGCGCATTGATTGAAGTTTTTTGGGTGGGCATGAACTTAACCAAGATCAGTAATACAAATGTATTAAATGACTAAATTCCAATAATTAATTCCGGATGCCACCGAAACATATAAGATTAAGGGTGTGTTTGGATAAATTCATAAACACTTGTAGGAATAAGAAGGAAAAATAAAATTAATATCTCTACAAGCTAAAATTATTTTATACCCATGTTAAAAACATATTTTGGAGAAGTTAATATGAGAGCTTTTTCAAATTACCTTATGCAAAACCTAAATTCAGTTTTTGGAGAAGCTATTTTATTTTATTTTTTCTTATTTTCTTTTTCAAAGTGTTTAAAGAGAAGTTTATCCAAATAAACCTGATCTATCTTATTATTAATGAGTTAATTTGGCCTAACCATTCAGATGGTATCATTCAAATTTTGATTTTCATGGTACTATCCTCATTCACCTTCATACTTGCATGTTACCAACATTTGAAGGTGGAGTAATTGACCATGATCATGTTAAACACATGCAGATGGGATCAAGAATGAAAAAATCAATATTTGATGAACAAACATCAAAGGCGTTAAAGAAATGGCACATGGCTGTGAAAAAGAAGCAAGGAGTGAAACTAGGGCAATCCAGAGTGCGAGCCATGGATGGAAGCACCACAGATTCAACAGTACACTCTTCTGGCCCCACACTACACCGTTTCAAAACCACTGGTCACTCAACTTCTCACACCATGTCAACCTACGGTGACCAAGATGATTACCATTCTGATAATGAATTGACTTCCATTTCACCAACATCAAGCTTGATAGTAAGAGTGGACCATGATGAGCAAGAACCAGCAAAAGAAATTGAACACCACCCCACAGCCAACAATCAATAGGTGGCTTCACACTGAACATATGGAAAGAGGCATGGAATAGCATCAAAAGTTACTCCATTCAACCATTTTTTGTTCCTTTACATGATATATATATATATCTTGACCTTGTTTAGAGATTTCTAGATTTTTTTTTTTTAATAGGCAAATGTTAATTGTTAGTGGGAGAATTCAAACTCATTCCTTCCTTATCACTTCAACCTTATATCCCTCTCCCTAAACTACCAAACCACCTTATAACTCCATTTCTAGATATTCTTACACTAGAGTCAGTTTTGTACATTCTTGTTCTTAAAGACACTTGCTGGTGCTGGATAATTTAACTTTGCTCAAAATCATGCTTATAGCAGTGTAGGTTTTGTTTGGATAAAATTTTCCATAAATATTTTTGAGAGAAGAAAATATAAAATAATTCTTTTATATTAAATTAGCTTATATATAAGTTAAAAAAAATGTTTTAGTGAAGCTTGTACATATGTCACAATGTTATTTATTTTTTCTCAAGTAAACTTCCTTTTATTTTCGTTCACTTTTGCATGTCATTTTATTTTTGTTAAGATTGGATCGAACATCATGGGACTGTTGTAGTTATATGTCAATTTCTTACTCTTCATTTTCTTCCCCAAAATCTATTTTCATCACTCTTTAGAACCGCTTTTCTGTTGTACACGTCTTGCACTTCCAAACTTTTTAACTTTTTCCACTTTCGCCCACTACATGTGCATATCACTCTCACATGTAGGGATGGCAATGTAGGGATGGCAATGGGGTTCCATGGGAATGAGTAATAGTAAATCCGTCCTCGTCTCGTCGGATGAAAATTTGCTCCATACCCACTTCATATCCGCGCGAGTATCTATTAAGCGGGTATTCATGAATTTCTTAAATATCCACGGATATCCATGAATATTTATAAATCTTTTAATAAATTAAAAAAAATTATATTATAAATAATTTTAAGTTTATATTTAATGTTATTAAAATATTAAAAATAAAAATTCATTGTTAATTTTGAACTTGTATTTAATGTTAATTTTGTTAAAATAATAATAAAAATGTAACATAATTAATAACTTAAAATACATCAATTTCAAAAGTAAGTTAAAGTTTCATCACAAAGCTACAATAATTCAATCTCATAATTCCAAACGAAAGTAAATAATTTAAAATACATAAATCTTATTGGTCCAATCAAAGCTAGAAAATTAATCAAATTACATCCAATATAATTTTATAACATACTTAACACATGTTGGTAACTTCATCAACCTCACTTTTGTAAGAAAATAAGATGAGAGATATAGTTTTAGGGTTATGTATACTAGGATAATTATGATATTTAAGAAATATTATTAAACGTGTACTCGCGGGTAAGAATATCATCATACCCGCCCCTGTGAGACCTGTAACACCCCAGTTTTCCAAAATGGTTACTATTATTATAATAGTTCAATGGAAACAACATCCTAAACTAATGCTAACTATGCCCCGATATCACATATCTTATCAAAGCGTTCCCAACTGAAGCCTAAGCCTCATCACCAACATCCTTATGCTGATGATCACCTGCAACACAATTTAAACACATACAAAGAACAACAAGGGAGTGAGAAACATCTTACTCGGTTTCAGGTGTAAAAATAATAGTTAGGCAACACACACACAAATCATAACAATCCCAGCCATAACTACACATTATTCAGATGCAAATTTAAATTATACTTACAACAGTAACACATGCACAGTCATTCATTATGTAATGATGTCATGGACTAGACTCATAAATGCATGTAGCGCCAGCCACGTGTCTCATAATCACATTTCTCATCATTTCATCACTAGTGACCCAAGGTACACCTTGTTAGCTTGTTACATCACTTGGTGACACAAGGTACACCTTGTTAGCTTGTTACATCACTTGGTATGCGGCCTAAGTGGCACACCTGGAATAGATAATATATGCGTATGATGCATGTCACACATTCATGATTTTATTGACTCAACATTTCACTTATCACATCTCATCATATCTTATGTCACATTATTTCATAATATCATATATCACGGATCATATGTTCACATCATATCATCGATCATATGTTCACCTTTTACATTCTCACGTCATATTCACATAGTCTCATATAAGGAACTTCTTGTAGTCATATATGTCAAAATAGTACATAAATCATACCAAGAAATTATCCAAAACATAAAGCCATCATCAATTTTACATATATTACCTCAAAATCATCCAAAGATTATATTCCTAATTTTACTTCATCACAAGAACCCACAGAGCTCTCTAATTCATATCAAAATTTGTTTATTTTTAAAATTAATCACATATTCATACATCACATCCAATAAGGAACACAACAGAACAATTAGAAGGAAAAACAGAAAATATTCATATTTTACCTGTTCCTAGAAGCATGCATCAGGCAAGGGATTGAGGGCCAATCCTACTACCCAACAATTATTCTCACACCCCCGAGCGAGGTTTCTCACTCCCCCTTACCTGGATAAGCAGAAGATGAAACTAGAGTGGAATCTGGTTAACCTCCTTCTCTTGGTTCTCCTTGGTCTTCAGAGAGTGTGTCTAGAAGCAGTGCCAGAGTATGCTATTTATAGATGTCAGGAGTAGCCAGAATGGCCTGTTTCAAATTTGGAATGGCCCGTTCTGGACTCATTCATCATGGATAAAATTCACATCTGGAATGACTCATTCTTATACCAGAACTACCCGTTTTGGGGTTGCATTTTAACATATAACAGCCATGTTTGGAACGGCCAATTCTTAAACCAGAATGGCTCGTTCCCAACTAGGGTTATAGGCCATTTTCGTAGTTTGGGAACGGCCCGTTCTAGTTTGGGAATGGCCCGTTCTGGGCTGCTAAATCACCCTTATTAGACTTTGAGCCTTCGTATAATCTGTGAAAATCGGGGTGTTACAATTCTCCTCTCCTTTTTGAAATTTTGTCCCCGAAATTTACCTGAAAATAGAAATGGGTAAACTCCTCGCATCTTTCTTTCTAATTCGTAAGGCTTACTCTCCTCAGTTCCCTATTGGAAACTATACTAGCAGGAAAATCCATGTAACCTCACTACATGACAAATGCACAACTTTTTCATTCTGCCTAAGGAATATCCAATATCAATAAGGATAAGACAAGCAAACTTGGTGAGTCTATCCACTAAAACCCAAAAAGAATCAAATTTCTTAAGTGTCTTAGGTAAATCTATAACAAAGTCCATCAACACACCATCTCACTTACAAATTGGAACATCTAAAGACTACCAAATTCCTACAGACTTCTGGTGTTCTATCTTAAACTTCTGGCATACTACACACAATTACACAAATTCCTCTACTCCTCTCTTCACCTTAGCCCACCACGCTTTCGCTACGCCACTTTGATACATCTTAGTAACTCCTAAATGAATGTTAAGAGTACTCTTATATCCTTCCTCTCAGATCATCTTCCTTAATTCGGGATTACTAGGCACATAGATTCTATCCTTGAACCCCAAAACACCATCAACTTCTACTCGTAAAGGACTATTTATACCCCTACCAATCCTCTCCACTTGATTCACTAAGAAAGGATCTAACTCCTGGGATTCTCTAATCTCATCCATTAATCTATTAGTCCTTTTCAACATACTTAATCCAATGCTCTTAACCCCCCCGACGTAAATTTATGTCTCCCGTATTAACGTCGGACCCTTTTCTGACGTAAAAACCTTAAAATAATCGACGTAAATTACCTCTTTTGTATTAGTGGTGACACCCTCTACCCCAATATACATATACAGTAATTATAAAAATAAAATTCTTCATCATTAAAAACCAAATCTCCAACCACATAAGGGTAAAGAGTTCACATTCATAAACTTAATCAAAATAACATGTCAGTGAAATTACAAGAAATAAAACTGATTTTTCAAATAGTTCAATGGAAACAACATCCTAAACTAATGCTAACTATGCCCCGATATCACATATCTTATCAAAGCGTTCCCAACTGAAGCCTAAGCCTCATCACCAACATCCTTATGCTGATGATCACCTGCAACACAATTTAAACACATACAAAGAACAACAAGGGAGTGAGAAACATCTTACTCGGTTTCAGGTGTAAAAATAATAGTTAGGCAACACACACACAAATCATAACAATCCCAGCCATAACTACACATTATTCAGATGCAAATTTAAATTATACTTACAACAGTACGAGAGACTAGCTGAGTCCAGGAGGGGAGGTGGAAGTCAGAGGAAGCCCTATGATAGGCCCCAATCACAGCAAGGGGGTCCTGTCAGTAGGCAGTCTTCCAGTACTGCTGGTGGAGGTAGACAGAGTGGAGGTACCGCTTTGAGATGTTACAGGTGTGGGGGATCCCATTTGATCAGGGATTGTCCATACGCTGAGAGCAGATGTTACAGATGCCAGCAGATGGGCCACTTGTCGTTCAACTGTCCCACCAGGAGTGGACCGGAGGGGAGTACACCGAGGAGAGATGCGCAGAGAGCTGATACTCAGAGGAGTAGTGTGCAGAGGACTGAGACTCAGAGAGGTGACAGATCCACTACAGCTGGTAGGGTATTTGCTCTGACGGGTGCTGAAGCTTCGACTTCTTCTGATCTTGTGAAGGGGAAGGGTAAAGCTGCTAGTAAGGATGTGATGATTCTCTTTGACTCGGGTGCTACACATTCCTTTATATCTTATGCATGTGTTGCTATGTTGGGTGTGTCTGTGTGTGATTTGGGGTTGAGATTGCTTGTGTCGACGCCCGCTTCTGCTTCTGTGATTGCTTCTGAATTGTGTGTGGGTTGCCCGGTTGTGGTGAATGAGAAAAAGTACAAGGTGAACCCGATTTGTTTACCTTTGGTGGATATTGACATAATCTTGGGAATGGATTGGTTGTCTGCCAATCACATTCTAATAGATTGTGCCAATAGGTGATTGATCTTTCCTTAGGAGGAGGATGAGCTGTTGATCTCAGCTGGCCAAGCTGAGTCCTTGCTGAGAGATGGGGCGGAGTGCTGTCTTCTACTTACTGCATTGAGTGTTGAGACCGAGCGGGTCATTTCTGAAATTGATGTGGTGCAGAATTTTGCTGAGGTATTCCCAGATGAGGTGCCTAGGTTGCCTCCTGTTAGGGAGATAGAGTTTAGTATTGACTTGGTCCCAGGTGCGGGACCAGTGTTGGTGGCTCCCTATAGGATGGCTCCGGCTGAGCTAGTAGAGTTGAAGGGTCAGTTGGAAGACCTATTGGAGAAGCAGTTGGTGCGGCCGAGCGTTTCACCGTGGGGTGCTCCTGTGCTATTGGTGAA